GTAAAAGCAGGATGTGACATGATCAGCCTGTCCTTCTCAAACATAACTAACAACTCTGGTGACAGTGGAGAGAGTAGACTGGTATAATAATGGTAGGAAAAGGCAGGGAACCAGTTTTGGAAGCTGTTGTGAAAGTCCAGTAGGCAATGAAGCCCTGAATGAAAGCAATGGCATTAGGAATGGGCAAGGGAGGATGAGAGTGGAGGATAACCCAGACATTTAGCTGATTGTTGGGTAGACAGGATCCAGTTACTCTAGGGACTTGGGATATGGGAGATATAAAGTCAAGGAAAATGACATGTGATCACTTAAGTACATCTGTTCACAAAAGAGAATTTCAACCTAATAGCGAAACAGATTGCTAATGAGATGTTAACATATGGCCAAATCTACCTATACTGTAATAACCTTTATCTGATGTGGAGAAAGTGATGTGTTCCTTTTGGACAGCTGCTTAGCTTTTAATCAATGCTCTGAGGATGCATTTGAGAACTCTTAGAGCAGACACTGGCAACAATGACACAGTTATTGACCACTTAGTCTGACACACTGTGGGTTATAAGCATAACTAATTATCATGAAAACTGGCTGCCACTTTTCAGAGCATACTTTGTAGCAAGCATTGTTCCTTTACAACAATGGCAGATTCTTTATTTGTATTCTAGAAATGAGGGAGAAAAAGAAGGTAAGTAATGTGTTCAAGGACACACAGATAGGAAGCAGATGTGCTGCAGAATATGGCAATGCCATTGGGCCCACTTGTCAGGAGCATATAGATTCTCATAGCATAATGGAATTGGACAAAATTATTATATACTGGATCAGTGGTATCACTAAGGTTGGTGCCACCCAGTGCCGTAACTCATGGCGTCACCCTTTCCCCATGGATTTTCTCCCATACTAGATCATAAAGAATCCTAGCAATGTTTATGATCAGTTTTAATCATAGAATAATATGTGATATAGTTACAAATTCCTTAAATGTAATATTTCTTAGATAATATTAATACTAACAACAAAATTGTTTTGTAAAATTTTGTTTATTGAATTACAGCATTACTGTTTATAATATTACTTGTAACCAAGTTGTGGTAGTTATGTAGTGGCACTAGGTAACCAGAACACAAGCGGACAGATTTTTTGAGTTTTCTCCTTTTCCTTTAATTACTACTGCATTCTCAAAAAAATGATAGATATTGGTTCACAAATAATGATTATCACAATCTTGTAGCTAAAACACCAGACAATTTGACAAAATCAGTAATTTTAAAAACACCAGCAGCATCAAAAGCCACAGTGCATTCTTTTTCATTTCTTTTTTTAATTGTGATTTGGTTGAAAATTTACAGAGCAAATTCACTGTCCATACAGCAGTTCACATACACACAGTGCATTCTTGTGCATGCAGACAAATCATGTGATTCAAAGCATCACTGTAACTGTAATAATGACATCTCAATATTGATGTCATTATATCAAATTATATAATATTATAGCATGACTTTGGGTTAATTTCTTTTTCTTTGTGATGCATATAATCATCATAAACATTTATTTCTAGTCCTAACTAGCTATTTAACACAATCTATTTGCAATTCTGGGGCTTGGGACCTGTAATTTGAATTTGTGTAATATTGCAAGTGCATTGTTTAATTTAATATTAAATTGTTGAATTAGAAGATTCAAAAAGTAAATTAGCATAGAGTTTCAGCCATGTAGATATATTGATACATGTAAACTGGGCTTAGGAAAAATGTTCTAGTTCTTTTAACTAACTACAGGGATATTTAAATATTTATATATATTTATACATAAAATTTTTACTGAAACACTGCACGGAAATCTTATAGACAGCCATTTTTGTGTCAGTCCCTCTGAAATTGTCACCTGATGTGGTCTGTACCCCTTCCACCCCCCTAGAAATGTCATATTAAAGTTATAATTACACAGAATGATGCTTGTGTAATTATTTTTGATATATATAAATAATATATATGTCTATATATATTATTTATATATATAAATGTAAATATATATATACACACACACACACATATACACACTTATACACACAAATCGATGGACTCTATTTCAGATTCTAAGAATCCACAATTCTGACACAATTTCCCAAAAACAATATTTTAATTTGATTATTTTTCCTGGAGGCTTTCTGAACAAGCTAGGTTGAGAAATTCTCAACTGAGAAGAGAAGGTTCAATGGGATATTCTCAATTTGGGTGTGCGTTCCTTCAGGGAAGAGATCTCCATTATTTACTTTTTTTTTTTTTTTTTTTTCTTGACAGAACCTAATGTAATGCCTTATACACAGTGCTGTTAAAAAATATTTGTGGAATGAAAGAACCAATGAAAGGCTGTTCCAAAATTGTTTCTCCTTGGAGTTCTTTGTCATCACAAGGTAAGAGACAAGTGTCAGAGAAGATCCACCAGACTGTATTTACATAGTAATGACGATCAGAATAGAAGATGGCTACCAAAAGCACACACTAGGACAACCACAACTGCAATTCAAAAATTATTAATGGAATGCACCTGAAATGATTTTGTTTAGAGCTTCATGAAGTCTGGCAGAGTTGCTTCCAGTCAGCTTGACTAAGAGAGGTCACATAGATTAAAAATAGACTTTCCTAACAAGGAACAATAGGCCACATTCACTTAGTAAGACAGGAAAAAAATGACAGGCCTTAAGGGTGGGTGTGAAGCTTAATCCTATTTAAGAGCTTAATTAACTAACCCCTAGAAAATTGAGCACCCCTCCCTGCCCCCTTCTTGCCCAGTCCTCTGTTTGGGACAAACTTAAAAAGAGATTCATGAAGATAAGACATTAAAGGGACTCACATTTGTAGACAAAACACTCAAAAATATTTTTAATGTTTTAAATAGAGCCCAATGAAGTTTGGAAATGTAAGAATTAGATTTCCTAAACATTATGGTCTTTTAAATCTTCTGAAATAAATCATATTCTCTTTTGAATTGTCAAATTTTTTACATTATTAATAAAATATTCAACATAAGCATTTGTCTTGACATATATATTCACTTTTTTTAATATCATTTGTTCTAATACTTATATTTTTAAACAAAGTCATAATTCCTCTTAGCCATATCAACACTTTCTCAAGAAATCTAAATCAAAATCTGTTGTAGAGTAAATTTGAACTATTCTAATGTTTTCATATACAGGAGAAGTCAGGTTTTGCGCATATCAGTCCATCCTGGGGCTGAGTAGATCACATACAACAACTGGACAGTCCTACTTTTCATAGATCATCTATTGAACTTCTGTGAATTGAATCTTCCAACTCTTTAATTTTGTTCAGCAGTATGCAAATAGCTCAAAGAGACTGTAAAACAAAGAGTGACCAGTAATTTCTTATTCTTTTTTTGTTGTTGTTGGGGAGAAAAAAAAATCCATAATTGTGATTAGAAAATAGTGGTTAAATTATAGTTACGCTCTTTGTTTAAATAGGACCTTGTTTCACTTATAAGAGTTTCAGAAAAATATTTGAGATGCTTGACAAAATAAAGTGCTTCTCTTCACCAAACTGAAGTCATCTGAATGTTGAGGAAGAAGATAACCCTTTGCCCCTCCCCTCCCTTAAGCAATGGCATTTCACCCCCCTCACCCACTCCAAGAGCCCACATCCTAACTTTTTCCTTGGGGTATGAAAGAATTTACAGATATTCTGGAAGAAGATGACAACTTGCTCTGTTCCACACTTTGTTTAAATTGCAGCTAATCTTGGGAATTACAGACAACTTCACAATCCCAGATAAAGCATGACTTGGGGTAAATTTCTTTTTCTTTGTGCTGTATATGATCATCATAAACATTTATTTCTACTCCTAACTAGCTATTTAACATAATCCATTTGCAATTCTGGGGCTTGAGAACTGTAATTTGCATTTGTGTAATATTGCAAGTGCACTGTTAAATTATACAATTTTTTTTTGTGTTGTCACATGATGTCAGTTGAATATTTTCTTTCTATTTTGAAAAGTTACCTTTAGACATACTAAATTGAAGGAACTAGATACAGCCTACACATAGAAAAAAGGTTAGCTCACAAAAGGATACAAACAATGAAAACTTTTTTTGTGAAAACCATCTAGCAAAAATAAGATTACTGAAGTATAAAAAGAACATTGCCATGACAGAAATCACATCTGGTAAACATTAATGCTTTAGTGTAAGGTCACTTGTCGTCACATTATCTTCTGTTAAATGATAATATAAACTTTTAATATGACTCTTAAGAATTACAAATGTTTAAGAGCTAAGTGATGTGTTTCAAATTTAGTAGCATGCCTTTAATTGCTGTGTATTTTTTTATTTTACATAGACCATAGAAAACAATATTGAAAAAGATGAAAAAGCACACAATCCCACCAACCCAAGTCCAGTTTTTCATATTTCCATGTTTCTCATCAATTCTTATCCATTTTCTCACAGTACTAAGCAGTTATAATCATAAAACAGGGTGCAGAACATATGTTTTTTATCCAATACAATGATTCATATTGCTTCCTAATTAGATTTTTAATGGTATAACTTGAACTTTAAAAACTATTGAATAAACTACTTCAGATTAAAAAAGCAAAATCCTGGTAGTTATTAATAACTGATTTCCAGAGATCACTCCTTTGCCAATAAACAGCTAATTCTTTCCCTTAAGGAAAAAAAAAAAACAAAAAAAAACCATAGATATAGTTACAGTCACACAGATAGCTACAAGAAGTAAATATTCTAACGGAAGGTAATGCTTATGTTAGAAAGTCACACATTTTTTCTTACATTGTAAGCAAAGAAACTTATTTTTCAGAAACTGAATAAAATTTATCCAGAGATTGATGAAATGTGTACATTTTAGATACTTAATAAAATGTCTACTTTACATGCAATTTTATTCTAAAATATATGTTGTTGTTGTTATGTGCTTTTGAGTCTAGGAGGGAAAAATATAACCAGAATGACAACTTACCAGCCTGCTCTTTCTCTGAAATACCTGAAATAGCCTGGGAGAAGGGGGAGAAAAAAAAGCAATGAAGTTATAGTATTATTACAAAGAAACATCAAATAACATCATGTGGAATAAAATGCAATACCATAAATGGAGTAAAAATTAAATAGCACCTGACAATAGAAAAAGAAGAATTGTGAAATTATCAGTAGTCACTAGATCCTTTTGTGACAACTATAAAGCATCATGGCATTGTTTCCTTTTCTACAGACTCAATCCAACATATACTCATACTATCTTATGACTAAAATGCTCTTTGAGTGTGGGTGGAATTTTTGTAGTATATTTCTTTGTCCTATTTTTGAAAGATAGAAAAAGCCATTTTTTTGGTCAGTTTCAGTGCATTTCAAATCTTTTCCCTGTCAGTTACTTGTTATGTAGACTTAGATAAACTACCTTACCTCTCAAAGTTCAGATTATTCTTTCACAAAACAAGGATAATTACACCTACTTCACAGGATTACTGAGAAAAATAAATTTAAATAGTAACCCTTATAAAGTGTACAAGACCCTCAGGAAAAGATAAATGCTCGTGTTTCTCAAATTTCAGTTCTTTGAATATCATCTTCACAATTTTTACTATACATATCTATCACCTATGAGAATATATATTTAATATTTTTTTGAATCAAATTTAAATAAAGTTCCCTTTTTCATTTGATTTGTGCTAAATAATAAAAATAAAATGCATGAATATATGGGTTTTATTTATGGGGTATATTATTCATAATATTTATAAAAACTAATAATTACTGTTATAGATTAAATTCTGTTCCCTAAAAATATGTTTTAAAAATCCCAACCCCTATACTTGTGGTTATAATCTCATGCTGGAATGGATTTCATTTGTTATGTTAATGAGACAGTCTTAGTATAAGGTGTGTTTTAAGTCAATCTCTCGAGATACAAAAAGAGCAGATTGAGCAAACAACCAAGCAAGCAAGATGGGGGAAGACAGATGTTCTTAAGATTGTTTACCACATGCGTTGTCGCAGTTGTGTTAATTTACTGATATTAAAGGTTTAGAAGCTCCATTCCTAGGAACTATCACTATAATTAGTTTAAAAATATAATTCAGAATTAGATACTTTCAAAATACTTAAAACTTAATGTCTCATTCTACTGTATGCAGATGCCTTAAAACAAATTGTTGTTGTTGTTGCTAGGTGCCATCGAGTGAGTTCTGTACTCTATGTACAACAGAACGAAATGCTGCCTGGTCCTGTGCCATCTTCACAATCATTGCTGTGTTTGAGCTCATTGTTACAGCCACTGTGTCAATCCATCCTGTCAAGGTCTTTCTCTTTTTCCCTGACCCTCTGTTTTACCAAGCATGATGTCCTTCTCCAAGGACTCGTGCCTCCCAAGAACATGTCCAAAGTAAGTGAGTCAAAGTCTCACCATCTCCACTTCTAAGAATCATTCTAGCTGCACTTTTTCTAAGATAGATTTATTCATTTTTCTGGCATTCCATGGCATATTCAATATTCTTCTCCAACACTATCATTCAAATGCATTAATACTTCTTAAGTCTTCAAATTAAGGAGGTTGAATTTTTAGTTTCCATTTTGGTCCACTTCAGTCATTTACATATAAAATAAAGTGAGCATGGGAGTGTTAACTTGTACTGGAAGCCTTTTAGAAATTTAAATGATCCATTTGGGTTTGATGTCTTCTACCCTACAATCTGGTTGGTACAAACAGTTAAGCACTTGGCTGGCACCCAGAAGGTTGGTAGTTTGAGTCCACTCAGCACCATCTCTGAAGAAAGGCCTGCTGATTTACTTCTGAATAATTAACCATTAACCACCTTATGGAGCAAAGTTCTACTCTGACAAAAATGGGTCACCATGAGTCGAGATGGACATGACAGCAACTGATTTGGCTTTGTTTTGGTTTACGCCACAACCACTGATTCATGTGAGAAGCCTGAAAGTGATGCTCTCCCCTTCATGGAACAAAGTCAACAGAATGTGAGTAAGAAATTCACCCTTAAGTAGGAAATTTGTGTGTGTGTATGTGTGTGTGTGTGTGTGTGTGTGTGTTTGCATCTCTGTTGTAGATCAGCAGATGTTACATTTCCAGAAATATAAAATGTCAAGATGTTTATGTCTTTGTGAATTATAGATTATTGCTGAGATCCCCATCTTTTAAATTTAAGGATTTGGAGATTAATGCAGTTATCCAAATAATTAAGGTAAAGAGCTTTCGAGGAATAAAAAGGGAAGGGGGTTTTGTTCTGGAATGAATGATCTATATTCAAAGTCTATTTTAAGCCAATTTAAACTACATTGGTTGTTCAACCCTGTTTTCTGGGTGTGGCAGTCATGAAGAGACTATCATAATAGCAAATGGCAGAGTGGAGGACCATGCCAAGGGATGGGGGCCTCAAAGGGATAGTGTACATTAGCTTTTGGCATTTTCCTCACCATCCTCCCACTTATACAGGCTCATCTGATTTTTCCCTTCTGCTTTTATATCACAGGAAAGCGGTTTGCCTCCCTTCCCAAGAAAGTATTCCTACAGTTTTAGTGATGTTTGTTTAATTTTATATTTGTTTTTTTGGAGAATATTTTAAGCGAAATGAAATTCATACCATGTGTTATATTTTAAACCTAGCTCCATGATTTACATAGTGGATAAGGCATCTGGCTGCTAACCAGAGGGTCAGAGGCTCAAACCCACCAGCCAGACCGTGGAAGGGAGATGGGGTAATCTACTTCCATAAAGATTGACAGCTTCAGAAACCCAATGGGGGTCGCTATGAGTCCGAATCAACTTCATGGCAGTGAGTTTTTTTTTTTTTTTTTTTTTTAAGAAATCAGGGATTTAAAATCAATATTTCTCTTCTGTGTAAAGCAAACAAACAAACAAGAACAACACAACATAAAACCCCTTTCATTGATAAGATTATAAAGTTCAGGCTTCTTCTTGTTGTTGTTATGTGCCTAGAGACAGGCAATTAAAGGATATTCATGGAGAAAGTTTCTCAATATAAAAATAGTGAGTACTTACTGGGCATTTAGTATTTGTAAGACACACTTTAAGCATTTACCTGCATAAACTCACTCCATCCTCAGAACAAGCGCATGCAGCTGTGGAAAGTAATGTCACTTTTGCAAGGCCACATGATCAGCAATAGAAGCCACAAGCACTAGAACACTGCCTCTGAACCACCACCAACCAGAGTGTTTTGAAACAAAAGAGAAGTTTGAAAAAGTCCTATGGTAAGACATTGACTTAGATTATAAAATTTTATCTTTGCTAAGACACCGCCTCGAGAAATTTAGAAATTATCTAAGCTCTCTCTTTTTATAGCTAAGTCATCTGAAATTGCATGTCATTTTCAAAATCATGATCAACAACAGTGACAGGCCTTTCCCACATTTGATTCTGTCTGTTTTGGTTACCTCTGTGTTGTTCTAACAGAAAATACCACAAACGGGATGGCTCGAACAAACAAGAGTTTACTCTCTCACAGTTTAGAGGCTTTAAGTCTGAGTTCAAAGTGCCAGGCTCTATGGGCTGGGTGAAAGCCCCTCAAACTTTGGCTTCAGCTCTGCCTCCTGATCCTGGCCCACTGAAGCTAGAGGTCTTTCTTCACTCAGACAGCTGCTGGCTGCTGAGACTGACAAGCCCAGGATTGACAAGCAAAAGGGCACAATCCCGATGTTACCAAACCACATGGCAGGCCATTAATTCAAGTCCATTCAAAGTCCCAAGGTCAGCAGAGCATGGCAGGCTGTTGAACAATGACATGGCTACATACAGGGTTCAAGAGTGCCATAAACTAGAGACTGTTCTGGTCCCCAAGTCTTCTTCTTATATACAGGAAACAGACCACATCCCCATGGCAGCTACTCAGCTGCTCACAGTAGATTCCAGCATGGGGTTGATTATCAGCCTCATCATGGGGAATACTACATCCAGCCGCCTAGCCACTCAACCAGGCCCAGCCAAGTTGACACACAAACGTAACTACCACACTATCTGATTACATAACTATGTAACTGAGCTTATGTAAGTAAATATTTAGTAAGAATGATAATCAATGAATTAGACTATAAATCAAAAATAAATTAGCCTTTACATAGTCAGTGCCAGTACTTCACATAGCCAATGCCAATTATGTTAGAATCTCACCATGTTCTTCATGAGTCCTCTTTTTCTTTTTAAGGTTTTATTTATTTATTTAACTGTGATTTGGCTGAAAGTTTATAGAGGACATTTGTCTTCCATTCAATAATTCATACACATACTGTTTCATGACATTGATTGTAATTGCCACAACATAACGGCTCTCTTTCCACTTTCTCCCTGTGGTTACCTTTTCCATGTTGCCTTCTTTCTTAATCATTTCTGCCCTTGAAGCTACCATCTATCTGTGCAAATACTGCCCATCTGATCTCCCATGGTTGATTGTCGTAAGGAGTGTACCTACATGGTGTAATAGTTCACCTGGTAGGCCTGCCTGTTATTTGGCTGGAAGCCATGGAAGTGAGTTCAATTCCAGGCCCAAAGGATGACTAGGTGCCATAGTCTTGGGGGTTTCAGCAGTTTCCATTAGACCAGTATCTTCATGATTCTTTAAGCTAACAAAGCTTACTTTCATTAAATAACTGCACTGCAATATAAAAATGTAGAGGAAGGACAACCAAAGTTTAATGTAAATAGAATTTCATAATTTCTTTTTAAAAGTTAAATATCCCTCAGCTAATTTATCTTTAAATTAGAGGGAGAACTGTCTTGAGAAAATAGAATATTTTGATGAAATAAATTTATTAAATGATGTTTGATAGAATGAATTAAATTTGTGAAACTCCCCAAGGTTGGAAGACATTGGAGAAATTAGAAAATGCTGACATCTTGATTTTCAATGTATTAAAGCTATTTGTTTACTTTACGTTACACGCCTAATATAATTCTAGGTACAAAAATCCTTAGAAAATTTCCTAAACATTTAATTAAAGTTAAATAAAATCCTTTTTAGAATTC